CAGCAACAAACTAACAAACTATAACAGTTGAAAATTTTTGGGCAAAGCAGGAAGAGCTTACACCAAAAATAAGTACCCTACGAACACATTCACTATACCAGTTCACCATTTTTCCCACACAAATTATTCAGGAAATCAAGTGTGTGTGTGTGTGTGTGCAGGAAGAGATAAGGACCTGTGAGAGATTGAGCGCCAACTTGAATGTCAGAGTGTGTAATGGTGAACAATGGACTCCCCAGTCGAATGTGCTGTGAGTTGTGACTCCTCACGTCGTATAAGGGCACGTTTGTTGGTTAGGGGAGACGATTAGATCATATTTATTTAGGCCTTCTTTTAAATAACTAGTTACGAATATTAATATATAAATATTTAAAATATTTATAAATTAAAAATATGATATTAGTGTGTAATATCATTTACTTATTATATTAATTTAGTGAAAATATTATATGAAATTTAAATTGTACAAAATTACATAAAATATATCTATTTAAAATTAGTACACTGATAACAAATCACATTATATTCATTTCAAAATAAGTGTCATTTTTAAGTCTTTATTCAGAAATTCCATTCGACTACAATGTGATTTCATAAAATAATTACTTTGGTGAAATTTTATAATATATTTAAAAAAATTTGTGAATAATATGTATAGTTTTAAAGATTATATTGTTCCATTAATTAAAGTAGATTTATTTTTGTATCAACTATCCAAATCAAAAAATTTAATTAGTTGAGTAATTTATTAAATTTTAAATAATTGACTATTCCATTAATGTCCAAGTTAATATTAACCCGTAAGTTATGAATAATTACTTATTTGAGTTTTAAATTTAGAACCCATATTTAGACAACAAAATAAATTCACTTATCTCAAAATTTTCTAGATTTTTTGTCGGTTACCTTATCGTTCAAATTTATCAATTAATTCTCTAAAATTAAATTGCAATTTATAAATTTTATTAACCAATATTTGTTCAAATATCTTTCTAATTTTCAAGAGGAATACATACCAATTTGGCGAATTATCATCAATATCTTATGACAAGTTATTATCGGAATATGCCAAATTTTAAAAATCATATCACCTTGATTTTATAACAAATCAACCTAAAATTCGACTTTCATACTCATACAAATAAATTTATACCATTTATTTTGTTTTCAAACATTTCAAATACATTCTATCCATAACAAATAAAATTCATACCATATAAATTTGAACATTTTGTACCAAAATAAAACCTCTCAGTTTATATCATAAGTTCGGACATCTATATCTATGTTTATATATATATATATATATAATAAGAATAACCATTTACCAAAAATATTAGTTAAAATTTTTGGGGGCATTTAATGCATGCTTTTTTTGAAAACTTTTTAAATATATCCATTAATTATTTTCATATACACGTTTTCAAATAAGATCAAAATAAATATGATAAAAAATATTGTTTTCTTAAATAATTTTATTAATATTTGCAATAATTTCATTGATATCTATTATAGTAAATTACAAGATTGATGTTTCGTGATTCATGTTGATAATATTTTGGTCAAGATAAATATTACAACATATTTTAAGTTCTAACCATAGTATTAAATTTTCTTTACAAATATTCTCTTTTTAGCCAAAAAATATTTATAGAAAATCATAACAGGTTAGGTAGATTTTTCTTCCAATTAATCAGACGAAATCAAGTTGGTGATTTAATCTTTGTCAATATATTTTTTTCTTAAGTTTTATTTTGTTATATATAAAAAATAAATTATTCTTTAAATTAATGTAATTTATCATTTAAGAGAAAATGACCAGATACATTACATAGTTTTGCTAATGGTAAAAAATTAAAATTGAAATATATTAATAATTTTTTAGAATTTATTTGTAGATTATTGGCAAACATGATTATTTTTTCACTTAACATTTTTTTTGTTTTGATTTCTTTTTATAATTATTTTTTTGTGAAATATATTTTCATTGCAAAGTATGCTAAATAAACTATAAATTCTTATAATGCAAATTACAAAATATTGATTATATAAGGGAATGAGTTTTTGGCATTTGCTAAATCAAAGTTGTTTAATTAGTATATAAAATTAAATTCTAAAAAATCATGTGTGTATATTTTGTATTTTTTTTATACACTATTTATTTTTAAATTAATTACATGAATAAATAATACTAACGTGCATTAAACATTTTTCATTACATAAAATAAAATGAAAGAGAAGACGTACAACTTTTATACTGTTTGTCCCATTTTTGTTGCGTTTTTTGTTGTCATTTTACCTTTCTTTTCCCCCATACTAGGTCTTTTAGTTGGTTTTTAGTTCGTTTTTTAGTTTATTTCGTGTTTTCATCTATTTGGAGTCATTTCAGTGTTTTTCGTTTGGTTTTCCGTTTTCTCCGTTTTTCTTGTCTTTTGTTGTGTGCAGGTCAGGTGCCTCATCGATTATAGATTGAAGGAGAAAAATATTTTGGGCGATCCTAATTTGTAGAGGGCTTCGTTGGCAACAAGCAAGAAAAAACGGAAACGAATTCCGAGTCCAAATGAGCTTGAACGATCCCTGAGAAGCAAAGTCGAGCAGGTTGCCCAGACCGCCACGCCCGTGCGCCGCGCCGCGGCACCTGCCGCGAGGTCGACTGGGACTCCAGGCCGAACACCTGTCACGCTGCGGAGCAGTGCCGTGCCGCGGTACCCGCACCTGTTGCGCCGTGAAGCCATGCGTGAAGCCCTCCACGGGCGTTCGGAGCCTGCTACCCGCACCATCACGCCGTGCTGTCCCTCGCGCCGCAACATCCATTCCCAGACCTGGTGTACTCCGCGCCGCGGCAGCCCTTCACGCGCGGCAGATGTGTGTTCGCTAATTATTTTCGCTATCCGCAAGTGTACGGAGTAACTATAGGTAGTGGCAAGCAAGGTCGTATTCCACAGAGATTGTAGTTAAATTAATTAAGTACTAAAATAACGACGATTAAATATTATCTAGACTAGTGAATTGAATGATGATTATAAACTAAGAATTAAACTAAAAACTAATTTATCTAAACAAATAAAAATAAAATAAGATACAAAAGATAGATTCTAGGCTAAGGGTTCCTCGGAATTAATTCATGAAACATTTATATTCAAACAAACCTTATTTAATTTTACTAATCGTAGAGATAATCGCTAAATTGATTTCAAACCTTTCTCTCGAACAAGTCAAATCGTAGATATTAATTTTTATCTATCTCCTCTCGGTCTCAAGATGAACAACTAACTCCCATAAGTTCCTAGGATTTTCGTTCTCTCGCAAGGTCCTATCAACCTCTCGGTCTGTTTATTCTCTTACGTTATAAATCTCCCAATTCTAGCAATCAATTATCTCCTCTCGGTCTCAAATCAATTACAAATATGCATTCATAGTGGTCATCTACTCACACAATAATAATAAGCACAAGAAATTTATAAACGAAAGATAAACCGGAATGAAATAAATAAAAACTAAATCATAAATCAATCCGAGTACTAACAAATCCTAGAATATAAGATAAATCTAGCCTAGAAACATGTTTTCAAAATAAGAAAAATAGATATAAAAGATTGAGTTCGAAAGAGGAAAAGAAAAAGAAAGATAAAGCTTATTCGGCTCCGTCGATCCTTTCTTCTCGGCTTTCTCCCTCGTCTTGCTCGTGTTTCTAGCCTCCAAAAGGTCTCCAAAGATGTGAAAATTATGTCCAAGACCCCCAAAAACGTGTCCAAGTGCCTCTTAAATAGTTGGGGTCGAGTCCTAGTCGAAATAGGTTGAAAATACCGAAAAAATAGGAAAAACGCGTCAAATCCGGATTTTGTCGCGCCCAGGGTCACACGACTCGTGTCATAGGTCACACGAGTCGTGTGACAAAGTCGAGAGCAAGTTTCACGACCCGTCAGAGCGACACGAGCCGTGTCTCAGGATCACACGACCCGTGTTGACCTGGGCACCAAAAATAGCTCGAAATCTTCACTTTTAGCTCATATAGATGCCCCTTGTCGGTTTTCTGGCATCCTAGTCGACTCCCCGTGGTCTTAATATGTCCAGTTGGTGCGCCGGCGATTTCCGTCCATTTTCCAGTCACTTCCGGCGGCTTTTGACAGCAGCTTTTCCGGCGCGCCTTTGACGTCCAAGCTTCTTCTCCGTCGACGGGCTGGCAACGACGGCCATCAACTTGGTCTCCGGTGGCTTGTCCGCGGCGTAGTGGCAAGTTGAGAGCTTGGTCGCAGCTCATTAATGGCGGACGTCTTACGTGCAAGAGCTTGGGGAAGATCTCATGCACATTTCATGTGGAAAATGACAACTATACCCTCACTTAAAACCTTCTTGGGCCAGCCCAACTTGCTTTTGCTTCTTAATTATTTGTTGTTTCTTGGGCCGGACCAAATCAAATATTATGCCCTTTCTTCATTATTTGTGCAGGCCTAAGGTTGGGCTCATTCTAATGCATGGTCCACATTCCGTCAACTCGTTTCTCGCCGTTTTCGACTAAAAAATTAATTCAACCCATTTCCTGTCATAACTCAAATAGAACACCTTCGTCATAGCTTAATAATATTAATTAATAAATAATTAATTAAACAATAATTAATCATATAATAACTGATTATATATCAAACTACGACGAAACGGACACAAAAATCACTACAAAATGCACGTAAATATGACGCATGTCAAATCCCCCAAACTTAACCATTGTTCGTCCCGAACAACAAATAAGCAAAAACAAACAACGTGCATGGAAAGTGATTTCAAACAAGAAAAACATCAAGTCACTTATATAATCAAGATAAATTCAAGTAATCTCAAATACATATGCCCCAACTCTTAACTTGATGAACTTTAAATTAATGAACTCTCAAATAAGGTAAAATTTATGTGTCTCACTCAAATATCTTGTGAAAAATCAACATAAAATAGAAGGGTACGCTCAAGTTAGTTCGAAACACAAAGTCAACCATAAACTTGTAAATCGTCTACACTTTACTAAATTCAATTAATGTACGTGAGCTAAGAATCAAAAGGACTTTTGGGTTGTAATGTAGGCTCTTTAGACAAGGTAGGAAAATATAGGCCAAGTGACTAAAAAAAAAATCGAACAAGACATCGATGAAAAATCACCATCTTCTATCTCCAATTACCTCCCAAGACAAACATACATACACAACTCTATAAAGCACAATACCATATATGCAAACCTCGGCAATTGATCTTTTTTCCAACTTTTTTTTTATNAATCAAATCGAGAGTAAGAGGAGTAGAATCC